TATTTCTTTCTCAATACATTCTATTCTTCAATATTAAATATTTAATTAATTTCATATTCCGTTTTTTTCGAAATATGAGTATTTTTTCCTTATTTTGAGTGAAATGACGTCTGAAATGCATGGAACTGTGCTTTGTGAACACTGATATCGGCAATATAGCGACTTATTTTTGGCATACTTTCCTCGAGAAATGTACGCACTCAAATATGGTATATGTCCAATTAAAATAAATCCTCTGGACTTTCTAAAATTGCATATTCGAATTTAAAGAGCTTTTCTTTTGCTGAAAAGTTTTTTTCACGAGATAGCTAAAAAGTTAGTTCGATACTAAAAATTTGGTAGTAATATTACCTACAATATGAATATTAAGAATCAGTTACATGTACATCGAGGAAGTACGTGCGGCTGTAGCTTTTTCTAAACGTAGGCGAAATAGCAGCTTTCTAGTATTTGTGGCCGCGTCGCAACTCGTAACAGGTCGCAGTACGAGAGTGGCAACGCCACGTCATGGATGGAAATTCGTAGAACAGACTTCTCATTGATATTATTCGAGACAACAATGTAACGCTGAATAGAACGCAATATTGGATTGTTGAAATTTGTGTTGATGTATTAGCTTTAAAAGAATTAGTTTTCGCACTCCATACGCTAAGAGTGGTAATGAGCTTTACAAGCGACTGCTAGGATGTGTTGGAAAGTCCAAACCTTGCAGTACTGTAATATAAAGTAACAGTTATTTCTATGAGAAAGTACGTGCTTTTGTATCACAACTAGTTCATTACAATGTTCAGGTGAGGTTGTTGTTTTACGTCCAATATTACTCTGCATTTTATATTATATGCTTCTACCTAAAACTTTTATAAACAAAATTCCACTTATAGTCCCCAAGTGCAATAATATGCGTGTGGTATATGACTGCACTAGAATCAAACTCAGAACGAAAGACTTCAAGCTCTAAATATTAGAGCTTGAAGTCATTTGTTTGGAGTCTTTACGAACGCTTCCGCCATAAACGCGAACAAATTCCTTGGAACGGACAAGGAGCGACAATTCCCACTGAAACTTCAGTCTAAGGCAGCGTTGCCGCAATCCGAGTAGTCACCGTATCCCCACATGCCTGAGGTTATGGCAAGTCCAGACTCCGACTCGAAACCTGTGTGACGACTCTGTCAGGTCTCCTCTTGAAAGCGCGTTGTGCGTCGACCCTGACCTTGCGCCTTTTCCGTCGAGCTTCCGTGCATTGACGAAAGAGGTAGCCAGGGTTTCTTTTCTCATTTCCGAAACATTTTTGGATTATTCATTTTACTTTCCTTTTCTATACTACTATAATGTAAGGGAGAAGTATTAGAATCACCTCAATAATATGATTCAAAATGTTCGATCTTAAACACTGTGTACAACGTTATTTTGTGCTGCAACTTCACACGTAAGTCATAGTGTTTTTCAAAGATTGTTAAGATTGATGCAGGTGGCAAGGAGGTGAGCTCAGTTTTGTACCTCAAAATCTGGAAGTTTGTGTGGATGGGTAAATGATACGAGTAGAATTTGTCACGCGGAACTGTCAGATTATTGGCTTTTGATAGATTGAGTTATTAGTGATTCCCGGCGCGTCAACAGATAAGTTTGTTAGTCCCGTAAGTGTAGCGCTTGTTTTATACTCGGGAGGTCGCGGTGATTTTCAACCCCTGGATGGCGCCGACCTACCGTCGACTAGCGAGGTTTTTCTCAACCAGGTATCTCCCACAGCCCCAGCCGGGACAAGCTTGTGTCTAAGTAAGGGGTAAAGATAGGACAAGGAAGAGGAAGGAAAGATCGCGCGCGGTCCCGTGTTTCTTTTGTTGGGGTTCTGCTCCGGCATTCACCTAGTGTTGATCGGAGAAACCACGGAAAACTATCGATCAGAGCAGCCGGCCACTAGAATTCTCCTCGAGAAGCGACTGATTTTGACCTAGCTGACCAGCTAGAGTCGAAAATCTTGGCACCATCGGGAGTCGAACCTCACAGTCTTAGAAGCTTTTGTGCTGAAATGTTTGGAACAGCAGGAGTAAGACCGAATTGTGCCGGGTATCATTAAAATATTTTTATTTTGAGGTGTATTTTATATGAAGCAATACTTCACACAACGCCTGTCTCTCCGTCTTTCTGCCCGTTTAGATGATTTTCTTCTTAAACTGGAGACCCTTAGTGGATCTGGACGAACTCGAGGTCCTGCGAATTTTAAACGACTATTATGATTTGTTGGAATAATGTACAGGAATCCTTTACATCATTTTCAATTTTTTTCAGATGATGCTCCAATTTTTGAAATTAATTTTTCCCCTTGGATAAAGCAAAAGACTCAAAAAATATTGAAGATGGAGGTTTTAACTAAATCGCATCTTTCTTACGTAGTATAGAGAAAGCATTGTAATGCTGCGGCAAACATCGGTAATTTTTCGCCAAAAAACTCTTATTGCGGCGTGTTGACACCGATAAAGTAGATAAATTAGTTTTTAACACGCCGTTAACTAGTTTCTCTATAACGTTGTATAAGTGAGAATCCACGTTTTGATGGTCTTTAACACCCAAAAATTGTTTTACGTCAAAACGTCTATCAATCCGTCTGCATGTCTGCCAGTCCCTCCAGCTGTGAACAACGCTAGTAGCTCAATTTTTTAAATTATAGTTTTGTCAAAACAAGCTTAAAATTCCGAGCAACTACGATACTGTAAAAAAGTTATTTAAGTTCTATATATTCACTACACGAGTAATAGAAAACCCTAAAAACATGTTTCGTGTCGTTCACGAAGACTAATGAAACTAGGTTTGGATATTCTGCATCAATACAACCACTATTCACTGTGAATTCAAGTGTGATTATTTAATTAATTTTTGTTAAGTCAAAAATAGTTAAACACTGTGTGACGTACGATTGCGAGAATTGCATTGTGTGCACGTTTTCTTAAATTCTCTACCACTACCCTAACCCATGTAGAAGTTTAATTATGAATACCGGAAACCACAAAACGTTTGCGCAAGAATTACTCTTAAATATTTGCGCCCATGTAATAAAACTATATTCAAAATCAAATCGGCTGCTGATTATGGCTATTACCCCTCATTGTTCCCTTTGTGAAGGAATCGGCTTACTGCCACGAGAACAAAGAAAGTGAACAATGAAAGTATTGTATTACCCACTGCACTCTAGAAAACGTGAAAATACTTTTAAGTTCAGAAGCAAAATAAGGGACCATCTCAGCATTAGCTCAAACGATCTGGTAAACTGGACGAAAAACCTGATCGAGATGTGGGTCATTGACCTAGAAGCTGAGGTACAATACGTGTTACAGGCATATTTTGTTTTTCAGACTTATAAAGAGGAGGTGAAGCCTGGGTAACTAGCATTAGGGACTTATTTGAGAAAGGGACTCTGACTTTTTTCATTTAAACACAAAAATGTTATACTTCTATTTCATATTAACCCCTGTAATACCTCCTGTCATACACATTCAGATAATACCTAAAACAAGTTTATCATAGCTTATGATAAATTTTAAGAAGCAAGTTGCATAAAATTATTTATGAAAATGTATACAAAATTTGTTTACATTAATAGTTTTCAGAAGAAAAATAATATTTATTTAAAAGTAAATGGGATAAAATGTGTACATAATTTATATTGAAGCCGTTCGAAAATTCCCCACTTTGTAAATCATTGTTCACAAAGTGAAAATAACTTAATAGTGGACGCCAACTTCAGGACTTCCTGAACTGTACAGAGATGTATTGTAGACCTGACTATTAACTAGTCAATTAAATTTTTCCTTGGTTTCTACCGTTTGCTCGTTTCCGTCGACTCTGCTACGCAGAACGGGTCACTAAAAGAGCAAAATCTTCACTCAATCCTTCACTCGAACTCAGCCCCGTATGTTTCTTTACATGCCATATGTGCTCCTCGCATGTTATTCGCATTTTCACTATAAGTTCTCTGGAATGTTCATTACATGTTCCGTCACATATTCACGACATGAACCCTCGCATGCTCACCACTCATCACCATGCATGTTCTCTATTTGATCTCTCGCGTGTTCATGTTTCCGACTTGTGCCACCACGGTTCCCGGCACGTCCCATGTAAAAAGCAAATTTTAGAATTTGTAAGAAAAACAGTAATTATCAATATGCAGTTTTCAATTAATCAGGGTGAGTACATAGCAAATTATATTTGCTCTGCTGTAAATGTATGAATTTTTGAAATAGTTTTTGCTGTAAAGTTATTAGTATTAAATGTTAAATTTATTAAAAAGGATGTTTTGTCTTTCATTTTGTAGAGCGCTAAAGCCTATTGCAAAAAGGTAACGATTGTTTCGTCAATGTTAGAACAAATTGCGTAGGAATCACATTTTTAAAACAAAAGCGGTAAATTAATGGCTTCCTACCGTATCTGAAGTATCTATTCTGACTACTTTGTGTCCCGTTTTTAAGGCCACAAAAAGCTGGTTTTAAATATCTCAGACGCATCGTTTGCGACTTAAGCATGATGGGGAAAAAATCAGCATCTTTGCTGGGCAATGGCTCGGTATTATATACCGAGTGGACAATAATAACATACATGGGGGGGGGGCACGTTTGTTTGAAAGAAGCGTTCTCCGTGGATCTACTGCCCCAGGTGTCTTGTTTTCTCTGGAGGAAGCGGTCGGGACCGCAGGCGGCGCCGCGCGTGACGTCACAGCAACAGGAAAAGTCGGCCTCCGCTTACTGCCGCGCAGTGCCTTCGCAGCGAGCGACCTGGCGCGATGGCGAACCTCGCTGCTCTGCTAGCCGGTGAGTTTACACCTCAATCGATTCGCTTCCCTTCTGTCTAGTGAAGATGATATCTACGGAGTTAAGCACGGGCGTTTGTGGCGCGGGTGGAGAGGGGGTTACGCCCCCTTGTTTTCAAGTAGTACTTCCAGTAGACAATTATTCAATTAACCTATACGTAAGTGAGGTTCGGGAGTAGAACGGAAGAAGTCCAAGTGAAATGGTTTCGTCAACAAAATGGAAGTGAATTTAAAAAAAAAATCTATATGTACGAAGATCAAGATTTGTGAAAAAGAAATTTCGAGTGTTCATTTTTGAAGTTGGCAATTTAACAAAGTACGGGTAGCCGTCACACTTAACTTGGTGAAATTGTTAGTTATGTTTGTTGTAGACCGAGTATTTTTTTGTGATAAAATGGTTAATTTTTATTATGATGTACAAGTAACAAGTGATGTTTTTAGTAGAGTTTTCTAGCTAAAAAAACTTGTATTCCGCTAAAAATAACACGAACTTGTATTTCATGTTCAATGCAATATTTGAACAATTGTTAAGGTGGATCACATCTTAGATCTTTAAAAGTACCAAAATATTGCAAATCAGTACACAAATTGTATGTACTTTGCAAATCTCGTATGATCCGACTTGGGAATGTCAGACGTCAAAACAGTGGCTACTTACTGAAAAAGTTGATGTAGTTTTCCAAATATACTAGTCCACTAGTCACGATGATATATAATCCCTTCGCATTGTTATTTCACCTTCTCGTCTTGCCTGGCCCTCACTTAATGTTACAGTAGCCGTTGTCAGCAGCGTAAATTTTTTGTGGGCGTAAGTGACAGTCAGAACAATTACTCAGTGACACACCTTTCGCAGTAGATGAATGAATGCTTCTTGAAGATTTGTTCCAGCAGCAATTAGTCTTCATTAAAACGGAGCACCAAAGGCTTGGACGAAACTAACTCATTTCGGACCTAGTTCATTTCTTTAAAGGATAATTACACGAGCCCAATTTATACTATTTTTGCGCAATAAGACGAGAAAATGTCAAAAGCGCGTCAGAAAGCGGTAATTGACACGCGTAGGACAAGTCGGTCACCAATGAACAGTCGTAAAGTAAGCCACGTGATTTGCTTGACAGGGAAGAAGGAAGCATGTTTTGAAGAGGATGAGTGATGGGTGTGTGATATGATGAGGGATAGACGTGTTTCGAAACAAACGCACAGTGCATAGTTTTTGTTACTTTAAACTTTTAAGAAAAAAAATTAGTTTCGCTTAGCAAAATGGGTGCAAATTCCTAATATTATGACATGATAGTTAATGAAGTACGGTCATAATAAATTAAGTTGTGACGGCAGAAATAAATGTTGGAATCGAAAATAATACGTGCGAGCGCCCGGCGAAGAAGATGGACTTTTGGCTCGCGATACGCGACCGAAGTAGGAGGCATTCTTAACATTTGTTTTTCTCTTTCAAAATATTCAACTTTTGTCAAAGAGAAATTTTTATAGAAATAAAACTCGTTCCAAGAAAACCAATTTGACTGCTTCACAAGGGCTAGTCCTGCGAAGTTTCCTAAAACCTACTCCAATCGCAATTCTTTCCAAATTCTGGCCGCTGGGTAGAGCGACACAGGAGCGCGTAGTAGAAGGCGTCTGAGCGGAGATGCTACCCGGCAGTCCTCGTGTCAACTGACTACGACGAGATGGGGCGTGACGATTTTGACAATGATTATGATTACTCTAAGCGCAAAGCGCTCAACGCCCTTCCAAAGGTCTTGGAGACCCCCATCCAAGGGCCTTGGTTGCGTCTATGTAGACGCAACAAATTAAAAAAAAACAACAAATAGAACGAAAACAAACAAAAAAACAAATAGAAAGAAAAGCAGTAATTAGCAAACAGCTGTTTTCAATTAATAAGAATGAGCACAAAGTAAATGATCTGCTGTAAATGTATGCATTTTAGAAGTAGTTTTTCCAGCAAATTTATTAATAACGTTATATTTTGTCATTCATTTTGAATAGCGGTAAAGCATATTGTAAAAAGGTAACGTTTTTTCGTGAATGTTAGAACAAATGGCGAATAATAGCATTTTTAAAACGATGGCTGTAGATTAATGGTTTTCTCTCGTGTTCTTCAAATCTGAATTATCTATTCTGACAACACTGATATTTATTAATGTTATTTAAGGACGCAGCAACATCTTGTTCATTAGCGACCACTATTACATTTAACGGTATAGTAACTGTGAAGATGACATTATATGGTGATGATAGAGGGTGAACAGACGAACACAAATACAATCATGCCCGAGGCTGGACTTGAACCCGCTATCCTTGAGATGACTACGGCACTACTGTCTTAACTCGGCCATCCGGACCCACTGATTTTTGTGTACCACTTTCCGTATAAAACGGGTCACTACCCTTAGATAATACAAATCCTTGAGTCCAACTGGGCTTTTGTTAGTGATGTGACAAAGTGGAATGCTAGAAATAATAAATTTGGTACGTAAACATGGAGAAAACACCTCAGGAAGAAATTACAACCGGTTCAGTATCGATGCAACTCGTAAAGGAATTTTGTAGGTTGATATTTTGACTTCGTTTTAAAATAAACATTATTGATCAAACATTTCTGAAGTATAATTAATTTATTAATCGCTCTTATTTAAATAGTTGTGGTTTTGATTAATACATTCTGAAAAGATTGGAGATAGTTTCTGGATTAGGGTACCTAGTACACCACCCAATCACTTCTTGTGAAATGAGATCCCAATACTTCAGGTTTAACATTATCCGGCTGTCATTTAACTGGCATTATACGGCTGAATATAGTGTCATTTTTCCGGCTTTTGGTATTCACAGGGTGTTTCTTTCATATAATGACCAATAAACTACTGATCTCTCTTGAATTATTAGTTACATAACATAAAATTTTGAAGATGTTCATCAAATATAACATGTTTTATTGCATACTAACCCTTTAAACTTAGAACTGTGAAATTGACGGCTTACCGATCCGTGATTTGCGCTATTGGAGCATGAAGTTTGTATTACGAATATACTTGAAATAAATTACGTTTCAATGTTTTAAATCTAAATCATATCAACAGTGGTAAATGTACAACCAAGAACAAACACCAATCGTTCATATTTATGGAAAATAATATACAACACACTATTGAAACATTGTTCTATTTGAACGGAAGGATTTAGTGCACTCCAGTAGTTCTGGAACATGACGCTACGACATTTCGTACTATATACATCTATATGCTTCATGTACAGAGCAGAAAAGTAATTAGGTAACTAAAGCAGAGCAAGGTTATATTCAAGAAAAAAACACATTTTGATAAGAATTGAAATTACAAACTACTGATTTTTAGTTCTGAGACCAATACCTACTGCCAAAGAGTCAGTTATGCCTAACGTGATGTTCTTCACTCTGATCGACAAACGCACTTTCAAGCTACGCGTCTGTAAATGTATCGCAGGGGGCTAAATTCAGTTCAGAATTATATTGCGTTGCGTGATTACGTTGTCAACAGCACCAGTGCCTAATTCGTGATTAAGTAATTAAATGGCGGACGACTATAGTTGTACAGCTGCAAAAATTTGCACTTTTCTCTTACATGTTTGAACAAACAAAATACTCTACTGACCGAAATAAAAGACGTGTAACCTAACAAAATGTGCAAGTAAAAAAATATATTTGGGGATCTGTTCCAACCTGTCATTTGTCTCATCTTACGCCTCATTTGGTCATTATTGTCGAAGTTGGAGTTCCAGATCACCGAACGTCTAACAAAAGTGCTGATGGTTGCAACAGAATATGGCGCCTCAAGAACAAGGTCGTTAGTCGGAGTTTTGGTGTTCTATGCTTTTGGATTTTGCGACTCGAAAAGACAACAAGTCACGTTCGCAGTTCGCTATAATTTTTAGATTTATATTTATTCTGTCAAAAAACGGTAAAAACTGTATGTCACGTAGGGGGGAGAAGAATGAAATGAATTAGAATATAATTTTGACGTTCCTGTGCTGTAAAATGTTCATTTCAACTTCTCAGTTTACCTTTATGCAAATGGCTGTCGAGTAGCAACGGCTACCGGAAGCTGTAAAAAAAAAGGTTTCGCCTAGCAACTATTTTTTTATTTAATAGGTAATTATTACAAAAAATAGCTTACTTGATCCTATGTGGCTAGGTCGAAGCGCCTTTAAGCCATAAATAAATAAACTGGCATAGTAATAAGCACATTAGGGGGGTGACGGGATCTAAATCCTTTGCGTTCTAATCTTTTGATTCTGGTATTCACCGCAAATGTCTCTCTATCGCGTTAAAGCCGCGGAAAGGAGACCATAAGGTACGGCCTCAGGAAAAACCCCCTGAAGGGGAAAACCTGACGTCAGAAGCGTGTACATATCTAATCTATCGACGTTTGTTTTTAACTACTTATTTTCTGGCGCGGGCGTCCCGCCGTCTCCTTCCAGTGCTTGGCTCCTCAGACCCTGAAATCAAACGGCGCCACAGAAGATCGTCCGCACCAACGCCTCTGCCTTGCATTTTCGATCCCGCCTTCCGTCACCCCTATGTGCTTATTACTATGCCAGTTTTATTTATTTATTATATTGACTGTTACTTACCAATTGACTACGACTTATGGACTTATTTCTTAACTGTTTACTAACTTAACATAAAAATTACTGATTAACTTACATTCATGTTAAGCTATTGACTTAATTTATTTCTCTCAGTCTAGCTCCCGCTCAAGCTAACCATGGCTGTTTTCCCACTCCTTAATTTCAGTTTCCCTAATGTGTCCGAACCTTTCTTAAAAATTTCCTAACTTTTGCATGAATTTAGATCTTTTATCACCTAAAATGTTTTGAGGAGCTTACGTTCCTGTTTGAAGTAGTAATTCCCATTCCACATTTTCTTCTCCATGTTTTCGGTTGCCACAGTCAATTAATGAGATGTTGCAATTCCAGTCTTCCCTATCACCCGCAGCAAGCACACAGATGCCTACACTTGCTCCTTTAGTCTACGCTGCATCCACCCCCAACCGTAAACCAAACTATCCAGCAAGCATATCCACACAGTTCTTAACCACACTCGTTTGGTTGGGCAGCTGTGGCGGCGCTGGTTTCTGCTGCGGCGGGGCAGGCAGCTCGCCCGACCGCTGCGGAGGTGCGCGATCTCGCATGGTCGGCTGCCCATCAACTCTTTCTCTGTAGATCTTTAAGGTGAGGCCACTCGCTACCATCACACAACCATTAAAAACTGGAGAATTTGAAAATAACTTTATTCCCATTAACATTTTCCGTTAATCGAGGCTTCTG